CCTACTCACGAATGTAAGTGGTACTCCTGCTTGCAAGTTAGCAACCTAATACTCACACCTTCGTCTCCTAGATTTACGGCTAACTATATCAACGCAGCAGCTGCGTGCAAGTACATCCTTTGCTTCCCATTGCATCGCTTACACAGTATCTGCCCCTCAGGCCTCGCTGCCTACGAATTTCTGGTCACCTTCGGCGACGAGATTGAGATTGTTTGGAAGAGACCCGTCACCGCGCGTGCCGTTCTCCTTGGCTCAGTACGATGGTGTATGCTCCTCGCGGCCGCCATGAACATTGCGCCGCAAACTGCGAATGTAAGCTCTGAGTGTTTCCGACTATGTGCAATCTGTGACAATGCTTACTACAGGAGTAAGTGTAGCTTGTGTAATGTCTGTGGGCAGCATATTTCTTACTGGAATCTGACATATAGCTGTAAGCCGCTTCAGGCCCTGGGCTGGGCATTCGCCTTCATTCAATTTCTCCAGGCTGCACGTACGCATCACGCCGTCTGTCCGAATCAAAATACGTTCGCTGAAACCCATGTGCCAGTCTTTTCCGCCTTGCGTGTCTTCGCAGTCTGGGATAAGAGCTATGTCTGGTCGCTGATCACGTTCGCATTGAGCATGGTGCTAGTTGCGACGAATATAGTGCGCGTCACTTATAATTGAACCTTGCATATGCTCTAGTTTACGCTTCCATGCAGTACAATGCGGTAATGACAAAGTATGGTTTTTATTTGGACCCGCTCCTTGGAGTAACATGCGCCGAGGAGTCTCAGATCTCAGCACAATCAGATAGCATGTGGGTGCACATATCTCGCGATACACTTCCAGAATAATAATCTTGCAATATAGGCGTATGTTCCACGGTCAAAGACTGCTAACATGTCGCAAGCACTGATACTACTTGTTCACAGTCTTGTATACCACACGTGGCTCCCTCATACTCGCTGACGCTATCGTGCTCGTCCTAACGTGGATTAAGACGTTCAGACACTGGAGGAATGCCCGCCGCCTCAAGATGAGGGCATCGCTGACGACTTGTTTGTTGCGCGATGGTCAGTGGTCGTATATGAAACTTCACAATTCCCGTTGCTGAAGCCCAGCTACTCGTGCAGGAACTATGTATTTCATGTGAGTGCAACAAGACGGCCCCATTAGAAGGAATTTCTCATAGGCCATAATGGACACAGAGCTCTGCTGGCCCTCAATATGACCCAACTGCTTACATACAACGTCTCCTCCTCAGTGCGTCCCCGACGTGAGTACGTGAGCAGATAGCTGACGTCGAGCTTAAGGAGATAGCAATAGTAAGCGTGCTGATAAGAACCCTGGCGCGTACCCTACGTTCCATTCGCATTGTTTGTACTCATGGACTCGGACTACCCACCCAGCCCTCAATACTCATCAGCCGCTTCATCATCAACCTCCGGACGGCCGGCTCGACAGTGTCGGACTACTCTGTGCACATGAGCGACCAGCAACAACGACAGTTATCACTGCAATTCAGAAGGCCAACAGATCGGTTGGGAAATATGGGTGGAACGCTGCAGGATGGCTGGAGCGACGAAACCTGTGATGAAGAGAGCGATGTGGCAGAAGTGGGAGAGGAAGGACGTCATGAGGCCGGCGCCGAGGCGTGAGCCGGCATTGAAGACTGTACCAGATTCCGCGGTATGCCCTGATTCTAGGCGGATATTGACGTTTGTAGCTTGTGCGAGCAAGATACCAGAAGCTTATTATATTTAATGACCCCAATTCAGTGATATGCCGTCAGGAACGGTAGTACGTGAATACATGCATTCCGGGGCAGTAATACAACGCTACGAAGTGGCAGTCCCAAAAGGCAGCTTTTGGCAAACACTGAATCCACTGGGATATTTTCACGCAAAATCCACACCATGCGTTCGGGCTCATCTCGCGGGTACTATCAGCATGATCCGCTGTAGGATGTCTACTGTAGCGCTCTGAGATATCGCTCACAGCATCGGTTAGCATTCTCGAGTATGATAGGCGATATATTCCGCGCACGCCGTCCGGGCCTAGTAGCCGTACTCGCATGGGCCCAAGGGTTTATGAATGGTTTGCACGCTGGAATGGTCCACATAAAATCAGCAAATATATGGGAAGATAGCCAGAGGTATGTTGCACTGAAGCATATGACTTTGATGGCACCAGAAACGTGAATGCAAAAAAGCAGCATCTGAAATTGTCAAAAGTAGAACCAAAAGGAACCTGGAGATAAGTAGTACTCCAGTCAATAAG